TTTGTGAGATGCCAGTTTTCCATCAATGTGCTTAAGGGTATTTTTAATTCTCCTCTTAAGCAATAAAATGTAGTTTTCTAAAGTTATGAAAATAACAATTTGTTGCAACTATTAAAGTAGGTTTTATTTTCTTTTGAAAAAAATGTATAAAGATGTATGCTGGTCTGTATATTTTGCTTGATTGTGTTCTGAGTTTAGGCAAGTCTTCTTTTCACCTTCACAATGTTCACATCATCTGGAATCACTTGCATAGAAATTTATGTTTGGATTAAATGAATTTATTATTTGGATTGTTTGAAGATAAATAAAATGGAATGTAAATGAAAGTTGCATACATCTTTGTTTCTCATTCTCTAACACCAGATGTGGGATGTAACTTTCTCTTCTTGTCATAAAAATATTCAAATAATAATAACTTTATTATATTTTATTTCTCTCTATTCCAAAATTGATAAGAAAAAAAAAAACAGTAAACAGCTATCTAGCAGGTGTCTCAAATTCCCAAACCCAAAGTTGATAAATCCCCTAGAAGCTTCCTTGAATCTCAATCAATGCCTCTTGTTTAAGGAAGAAGTGTTACTTGTTTGTTGCTTTCTTCTAAAAATAGAATTGGATTTTAAATCTTATTAAGGAGTGTCATCACATATTGGTTAAGTAGTCTTTAATTCATTATATTAAATATTTTTAATAACTTAAAAAGAAGGCATTTTTATGTATCAAAGAAGATGAAGATAATGAGGTATATGATAATGAAAAAAACTGAGAGTTGACAAGTTGAGAAGGAAAATATATTTCTATTAGATTGAATTAAATGAAAAATAAGTTCTAAATTTATACATTTGTAAGACACAGCTAACAAATATAATTAACTAATTCAGTTACTATCACAAGTCATGTTAACTATCATTAGTTATTCTTAACTTGGCTTAGTGAGTTATTTTTAAAGAAATTTTATTTATTTTGTATATTAATTTTTTTATAAAGACTTTTCTAAAATTATATAATTTTCTCCATTAAAAGTTTAATATGTTAGCTGGAGTAATTTCTTCTTTAAAATTTGACAAGATCACAGTTTTTTTGGGGTTTAGGATTGGTGAAGAGGATGAGATTGTGATTTTTATGTAACAAGAATTTGAACTTTGACCTTTACATTTCATCTCTATAACTTTATCACTAAGCTAGCAACAAGGAATGAAATTTGACAAGATCTCAAGGATAGAGTTTAGCATAAGAATGGGCCTCATAGCTTAATTCAAGAAAAAAAGAAAACTTATGGGCCTTAAAGAAGACAAAATTTCACTAAGTCAGGGATATACTAAACTAAAGGTCATTTGGAACGAGTTATATGCCCATAAATAAAGTTACACTTACACTTGTGGGGGCATTAAGGAATTTTTTTTTTTAATATTCATTAGTATATTATGTCATTTTAAAAGGGTTTAATTTTTTTTTCTCAAGTTAAGGTCAATTAATTTTAATGGAACACATCCTTCCCATAAAAAAGGTTTTCAATCTTTTAAAACTAGGAGAAAAATTTAAAGAAATTGACAACATTTTTGCTTCATCATCAATCAAGTTACGTGGTTTTCCCCCTAATTACAAGCCAAAATCTAAACACATGTGCAATCTAGACAAATGACTCTAATACTAGAGTTGGGTCATATAAAGAAGCTTAAATTATGAGCAATTCTTTCAAGTAGACTTAAACACAACACCTAACTCAAAGCTTTAAAATTATTGAGTTATAGGACCTTTTATAAATTTCTCAATTTTTTCATTCTTATCTAATGTAAAATTTCTTTACTCATAGTTAACTTTTACCGAGTGCCTAAGGCATAAATTATTGAAAACTTTGTAAACAAACATTACATGCTATATATATTTCAAACTCTCATTGCTAGCTTCACGTTATTTAGGCAGATGATTAATTAATCAAAGTTGATTAATATTTGGATTATATAGTGATAATATTACTAGACTAATAATTACCTAACACTCTTTCTTTGCAATATATGCCTCAATCTTCTCTTAGAACGAGAACATTAATTATTAGTAATTTAGTACAAAAGGACACTTTAAAGAACTGTTTTTAATCCTGCTTACCTCTTCAAAATAACATTAGTTTAGTACTCACCAAAAAATATAATATTAGTTAAGTAGTTGATCTTATTAGTAGCAAAAGAGTTATAAAGTGGCTGACTTTTTAGGGGTGTTTAGAGTTCAATGAACCAATGGCTAGCATGAAGATCATATATTAATTGCTAATTGCTAAATTAATATATAGCATTTAAATTGCTAAACGTTTTTTTTTCAATATTAAATTCAATATTCTGCACATTAACAACTAACACTTCTCATGAGAATAAAAGGTTGAGATGTTTAATATGGATTACTAAATTGATGTGATGGGTATGGGTTTTAATGTAGGAAGAAATGTATGTCACGCATACATGATTAGCCGCATTCTATAAGGTGACTTTTTGAGCTTATCTAATTAATACAACTCGGTTTAGATTATCAAGCAAGAAACAAAAGAAAGAAAATAAAATATAAAAAAATCAAATTAAATATAAGCTAGTTGTGAAACTTTCTTTTTAATTAATGTATCCTTTATTTAATAGAAACTAGATTTTAAATCCGGTGCTATATACTGATTAATAAAATTAATTTTATTTGTAATAGTTAATAATAAATTTTCTATAAAAAAATATTATTAGTAATTATTTTAAAATATATTAAAATAATAAATTATAAATTTAATTAAAATGTATTAATAGTGTAAATATTTTTCATATTATCATTTAATCATATATTACTATATCAATAAAAATTATTAATTTTTATGATTATTTTAAAATTCATATTTGTATTGTAAATGTATATTAATAATACATAAAAAAAAACATCCACATATTATTTTATATTTAATTTTTAAAACTGTCTTAAGATTAACTTTATAATATAAAAGTACATTAATTATAAATGAAAGAGAATAGATTTAAAGTGTTTAAAGGACTATATTCTATATTGCATAAAGATTAATTTATATCATGTTTAAAGAAATGACTTTTTTTAGAATAAAAATTAAAAAATATTAAGGGATAGATATTTTTGTTCATAAATAGATTAAATATAATATAATTCAATTTAATTTTGTCACAATAAATATATATTACCATAAATTATAATATTTTAAATATATATATATATATATATATAATTTCTAATATTATGTTATTGTCTTTATTTTGATTAATGCACCTGTATATATACAATAGTTGAAGAGAGAGAAATATGAAAATGAAGATAATTTTTTTAATTAATTCTATAATTTTAACTTAAAGAAATATATATATATATATATATATATTAAAATTTAATAAAAATATTAATAATAGACAGTATTGACCGTATGTATCTATTTTAATATCGATAGAATTATTTATTAATACAATACATTATATTATTAATATAAAATCATATTAAAAAAATACTATTTAATATTTATTAGATAAAGATTATACGAATGAAATAAATACTATATTTTACTTTGAGTATATGACTCTCTTTTTAACAGTCATTGAATTACTATTATCAGCTATAAACGATCATATGATCATACGTGCCATTTGTTTCAGCTATATGTTTTGCAAAGACAGAGAAATGAGGAAAAGGAGAAAACCTATATGATTTCTTTTTTTAATTTAAAGTTACCGTGCCCCAATTTTACTAAAAAAACCGAAGAAGGAAGTGAAAATGATTAGACCAAAAGATCAAAGGAGTTGAATTAAAATAATTTCCATAGAAAATTTAGTAAAGCTATGCTGTAATTACACCCTTAAGGATACCAAGCTAATGAACTTAAGGAACCACAGTTCTTATCTCATACTGAAAAGTGACCTATTGAAAATCAAGGCCTTGTAAAATTCACTAAGAAATTTGTTACAATCTTAAATGAGATCAACTCATGATTGCACAACTGATTCTGCATGCTCTTTTTCATCTGTTCCCCACATCTGATTCTTCTTTCTTGCATAGCATGCAATTCTGCGTGTTTCCCAATAATTGCATCCACTTTAAGGTCAATAAAATTCACTTTGTGTTCCTTTTGAATAAGGGCCTTTCCTTGTCATAACCGTACTTCAGATTATATATTGGCTGTTGTCGTATTGAGCCCACTATCCTCCCCCATATTATACACAATGCCATACATTAATCATCCAAGCTCTATCCTAGCAAAATAATAATGCAACCCATGATTTTGGAAAATTAGATTTATATAATGAGCGAGTAAACTCAGTCAATATATTCAATTCCACAGAAAAAGTTAAAAACTTTATTGAATAGGACAATATCCCACTTCTGCTTTTTCTCTGAAATTGGACCTCTTAAATAATGATAGCTTAAATAAAGACCATTTTGGCGTCCACTCAACTTTTACACTCACTCACCAACCATGATCAGGTCTCAATGTTCAACCACACCAAAAAATTTCTTGGATTAACTCTTAGCATTAAATAAAAAACTCTGCTTATAATAATCCTTTTCTAGTACCTGCCTTAGTTACTTATATGTATTTGACAACTAAATCATGACCTCAGTTCTAATATTACATACTGCAAAAGAGAGTTTGGTTTGAAGCTATTAATAGTAGTTGATAATGGAGTGCAATTTCTATTTTTGGTCACGGATAGTATGTGTATGACCATCATTTATCTTTCTAGAGCCACACACAAATCTCTCATCATTGTCTATGTCAAATTCATGGTCTTCTATAATTAGAGATAATCGCTTGTAATAATTTAATAAAATGGACAAATCAGACTAACCAAAAGAACAAAAACAATTGAGTATTGGAAGGGGGAGGAGCAATACACAAAAGTACAACTTAGCGAACACTTCAATTACGTGCAACAAGAAATATTTAATTTTTTAAATAGCACTTGAAAGGGAATTTCAAGAAGTATACATTACCATCATCAAGCCAAATTGAATGGTTCAGATTGATTGGCCAGTAAGAAATAGTATTAACAGGTCAACTTGGCATGCAAGACCAAGTCCGAGTTGTATTACATGACCTTTTCCCTAGTTCACCACACATTTGCCGTATTAGCCAGCTACATCCAAACACAAATACTATAAACAAAAAGAGAAATATTCTGTAGTTATCTGTATGTGCTTTTCTTTTATGCCGAATGGCAAAAAAATACCAAGTGAAGAAATCCAATAGCTGGAGAAATGTCAAACTTTTACATATAAACCAAACTAGCCGATACAAAGAAGGATCAAAAAAGAAAATGCAGACCCTTGGCCAAAATGAGGCCTCCCAAGCATGCCCTCAATGTTGTTGCAGCTGCAGAACCCCATTTTTCAACTCACCAACAAGACATAACACAACATCAAAACTCAGAAACAGTTCTGCTGACTGTCGCCACAGCTTCGCAGTTACAACAACATCATCTATATTCCCAAACACTCAATTCACCAACCATGAGTCCCTTCCATCACTTCAAGAATCATTCAATGAATTTACCAAAGTGTACCCTCAGTATTCTGAGACTGAACAAGTTGACCATGTTAGAGCCAAAGAATATTTCCACCTCTCAGTCTCCAACCAAACTTGCCTTGATTACATTGGCATTGGACTCTTCTCCTACTCCCAACTTCAACACCATCACACATCAAAAACCCAACTTGCCTCATCTTCAAGTACTCAAACATCCCATTATTCAGATATTCCCTTCTTCAGTATATGCTGCAAAACTGGGAGTTTGAAGACTTTGCTGCTTCATGGTGGACAAGACTCAAAATTTGAGGCTGCAATGAGAAGAAGAATCATGGGTTTTCTCAACATATCTGAAAATGATTACTACATGGTTTTCACAGCAAATAGAACCTCAGCTTTTAAACTTGTGGCAGATTCATACCAATTTCAATCTAGTGAGAGGCTTTTGACAGTTTATGACTACGAAAGCGAGGCTGTGGAAGCAATGCTTAGTTCCTCAAAGAAGAGAGGAGCCAGGGCCATGTCAGCGAAGTTCTCATGGCCAAGGCTAAGAATTCAGACAGAAAAATTGAGGAAATTGATTGTGAGTAAGAGAAAGAAGAAGAAAAGAAAGGGCCTTTTTGTTTTCCCACTTCTTTCAAGAGTAACAGGAGCAAGATATCCTTATCTGTGGTTGAGCATAGCACAGGAGAATGGTTGGCATGTGTTGGTTGATGCATGTGCATTGGGACCAAAAGACATGGACTGTTTTGGCCTCTCTCTATTTCAACCAGACTTTCTTATTTGCTCTTTTTATAAAATCTTTGGGGAAAACCCTTCTGGATTTGGATGCCTTTTTGTCAAGAAATCAGCTATTTCCATCTTGGAATCTTCTTCTTGCGCAGGAATTGTGAACCTTTTACCAGAAAAGCAGCCTCATCAACTATCACATGATTCTTCTGGCACTGACATAGAACATGAACACAAATCAATGCCAATCTTAAATGAAGAGAAACCATGTTCTTTGACATCTTTCTCAGGTCCAATACAAACTAAACAGTCTGAAATAGGTGAAGAAGAACCACCTGAGCCAAAAACTCCTCAAAATTCTGAAATTGAGGAGGAACAAGAGCCAGTTCAGATTCAAACACTTAAGAAAGAGAATGTCCAAGAAAGTGAAAATGAGAGCTTTGACATTCAATGCAGGTGCTTAAATCAAGTGGATTCTTTAGGATTGATTCTTATCACGAACCGGGCAAGGTACCTTATAAACTGGCTGGTAAACTCAATGTTGAAGCTTAAACATCCTAACACACACGGGGTTCCTCTAGTGAAGATTTATGGTCCAAAAGTGAAATTTGATAGAGGGCCTGCATTGGCATTCAATATATTTGATTGGAAAGGTGAGAAGGTTGAGCCTGTTCTTATTCAGAAACTTGCTGATAGAAGTAACATTTCTATCAGCTATGCATTCCTGCATCATATTTGGTTTGCCGATAAGTATGCAGAAGAAAAGGGAACAGTGCTACAAACCAAAGTAGTTGGAGGCCAAGGAGTGACAACCAACAAGAAGAAAGATGGAGATAATGTTGGAATCACTGTGGTCACTGCTGCATTAGGCTTCCTTGCTAATTTTGAAGATATCTATAAGCTTTGGGCTTTTGTGGCAAGGTTCCTTGATGCTGACTTTGTGGAGAAAGAGAGGTGGAGATATACTGCTCTCAATCAGAAAACAGTTGAGGTTTAATTAATTTCTATTGGTTTTCATTTATTTTTCTGGATTGTGGATGTTAGAAGAGTCTATAAAGTGTGAATTCGGCTGAAAATTTCATGCATAGGGAAATTTTATTCTTCAAGGAAAAACAGGATTACTTACCCTATTCATTAATTTGTGGATTTAGATTCATAAACTATGTGGATAAATCATTATGTGAAATATAGTTTCTTTCCATTTTATTTCTTTCCTGTTTATGTAGTGTTATTGTCCTGCATATGAATTCTGGCAGGTCCATAACTCTATAGTGGACATTGACGGGTAATAAATTTACAGCAAAAAAATTGGACTCAAAATCTATTTCAAGGGGAAAAAAAGTTCCAGCAGAAAAAAAATATAAACAACACTGACATTTCTGTTTATGAGAAAGTTATGGTCACCTCCTTCAGCTAGGTTAGTTTTGCAGTGGTTTCTGGCCTATCAAAAGGAAATTCTGAAGCGCTTCACCTTATCTAGAATAAAGCGAGTAAATACCCATCTTAATCTGCAGAGAGAATAGAAGAGAGTGAAAATGATTTCTATATTCATTGATACACACCTAGTAAACACTAATACATATATACACACGAGTTAACAAATGGGCCCAATGGGACTCACTACTCTAAAGGTATCTACATTAACACTTTCCCTATAGCTTAGAGCACAGAGATTATATGTACTCAGCCTGTTACAAATGAAACCAAAGAGAACTTCTAAGGGACTTAGTGAGAATGTCAGCTAACTGGTCATTGGTACCACTAACATAGCTAATGACAGTACAACCTGAGAGCATTTTTTCATTTATAAAATGAAAGTCTAGTTCATTTGAGAGACTGGTAAACTTTAATTCAATTGCTTAATCCCATGAGTTTACGTGTGACCAAAGTCAACTGTCAAAGCTCAATATTCTGCCTCAGCACTAGATCTGGCTACAACCTCCTACTTTTGCCTCTTCCATAAGATTACCTCCAACTAGAACACAATATCCTTAAGTAAACCATCTATCAAAAGGGGATCCAGCCCAATCACCATCTGAATAACCAACTATCAGAATACGACTCTTGTTCTCATATAATAGACCTTGACTAGGAGGTCCCTTGATATGCATCAAAATTCAAATGGCTATAACTCACTGACTGTCATAAGGAGACTGGAGAAACTAATTCATCACTGAAACAGCAAATGAAATGTCAAGTCGTGTGATAGTGAGGTAATTCAACTTTCCAACCAACCTCCAATACTTTCCAGGATCAACAAGAGGCTCCCCTAATTCCCCTTGTCCTGGAAGATGGTTAATCTTAGGACCCAAAGAAGTATCTGATGGTTTACAGTCTAAAAATATTAGTTTCTTCTAGGATATCCAAAGCATACTTCCTCCAAGAGACAATAGTGCCAGAATCAGATTGAGCAATTTCAACAGCCAAAAAATATTTGAGCAAGCCCAAGTCTTTAGTTAAAAGTGATGAAAATAAGTGTCGTTTCAATTTGTCAATGCCATTCTAATTATAACCTGTTCAAACAATATCATAAAAATAAACAACTAGATAAATGCATTATCCTGAGCAGTTGTGTCAGTAGAAGCCTGTGTGATCAGATTCACATTGAGTCATTCCAAATTCCTAAACGGCAGCACTAAACCTTCCAAATCAAGCACAAGGATATTGCTTGAAGTTATAAAGATAGTGGTGGAGTTTGCAAACCAAATTAGACTCCCCCTGAGCAATAAAACAAGGTTACTCCATATAAATCTCTTCATGAGGTTCACCATGAAGGAAATAATTTTTAACGTCAAGTTGAGACAAAGGCCAAAAGAACGCATGGCAGCCATGGACAAGAATAAACGAACAAATAACATCTTAGTAACTAGAGAGAAAGTGTCATAATTATCTTGCACAAGGATATTGCTTTAAGTTATAAAGATAGTGGTGGAGTTTGCAAACCAAATTAGACTCCCCTAAGCAATAAAACGAGGTTACTCCATATAAATCCCTTCTTGATGTTCACCATGAAGGAAATAATTTTTAAAGTCAAGTATACAAAGGCCAAAAGAACGCACGGCAGCCATGGCCAAGAATAAATGAACAAATAAGATCTTAGTAACTAGAGAGAAAGTGTCATAATTATCTTGGCCATAAACATGACTGTATCCATTGCAATTAGATGGACCTTGAGACGATCAACTTGACCATCAGAACCAACTTTCACAGCATATATCAATTACAAGAGTTTTGCCTAGAGGAACAGTAACCAACTTCCAAGAACCATTAGCATGAAGGATAGTCAAAGAGCCGACTGCTTTCAAATTTTAAGATTGGAGCCCCTCTTTAAAGTATAGATACAGACCGTTAATCTTAAATTTGAAATTGATTTTTTTTTTGAGTTTTTTATTGTAAAATAAATTAATTTATTATTACGTTTAAATTAAAATTTAGAATTGATTTTTGTGTGAGTTGTTTTTATTTTTATCATAAATTAAAATTGAATCTTGAGTTTATATATTTAGTGTTAACCAAACAATCCATATCTACATGGAATAAACACAAGAAAGTAGGAAAAAAAGAGAACAAATTAATAGAATTATTTTTAATATTAATAGAGAGAAAAAGAAAGAAAGAGAGAATGGATGATTCACCGTTAACAAAGAGAAGAAATATAATGAAGAAGTACTAACACAAAAGTAAAAAAAAAAACTAATTTGTTAGCGTAAAGAGGATGAAAAAAGTAGACTAATAGAAAATGAAGAGGTACCTATAGATAGGAAAAAAAAATCAATTTGTTAGCTCAGAGAAGATGAAGAGAACATAAGAGAATAAAGAGTAAAAAAGATTAAGTTTATTAGTTAAGAAGAAAAAATGCGCTGAACGTGTTTCATTTTAATAATATTAGATAATAATTTTTTATTAACTGCTCTCCAAGAATGAGATATGCTCTCTAATATGTGACTTTAGAGAGTAGTTAATAAAGAACGCTTTCAAATGACTTTAGAGAGCGGATAATAGAGAAGTATAGTTCTGAGAGCGGTTAACAGAAAACTGCTCTTTCAGAAGTATAGAGCTGAGAGCGGTTAATAGAAAATCACTCTCTAAATATATAGTTACAAAACAGTTTTTATTAATCGTTGTCTAAGTTAGCACTCCAAAAGCTTATTTCTTACATAGTACTCGGTTGAACAAGGACAGATGGGAAGACAAATAATGACAGCTAAGAAAGGTTTAAATAGGATAGAGTAAGAGACCTTATGTCATGAAGAGTAGAAAATGACATACAATTGATAAGATAACATGCGGTGATAACTACATCTCGATAAAAGCGCAAGCACATTGTTTCAAAGAAGAAAGGTGCTACTTGTAATGTGATTTTTGTAAAATATATCTCAAATAGTAAACCTTTTAAACATGTAATGTGATATTATTTCCAATTTTAACCTCAAAATCTTTTTATTTTATTTTTGTTTAAATTGTAATGCATTTGTCATCTTTCTATTCAAATGAAAACTCTTTAATTATAATCTTTGCTTTCAAATATCAAGGTTAGATTTAATATTTTTCCTTAACTCGTCAACCAGAACTGCGTTATACGCAAAAGAAACATGACGTAAACTTATTTTTATATGAAAATTTTTAGTTGCTTCTCCCAACGATTTTGAAGAAACACTTGTAGTTAACTTCATTACATGTATTTGTATAACTTTGATCTAAGCTACAAAAACACTTTATTCTTTCTAACTTTTTCAACAATTCTCTTAGCAAACAATTACATATTTTTTATCTAAGTCAATAAAAATTATATATTTTATACTTTCTTAAAATATTTATTATTTTTGCTGCAACTTTTTTGACAAAATAAATTTAATTCTCTCCAATTTTAGTCTGTTATCTTAATTCATTCATGCTCAATTACCTTTTCTTATAATTTCATAAGTTTATATTTATATAGTTAAAATAATTTTAAATACTTCTCTTATTCTTATATATTGGAACTAAAGTATTATTTCTCTACTCATTTAACATTTTTTTAGAATTAAATCTCTTAAAGTAGCTTAGTGAGTCAAATGATTCATTGTGTTTTTCTATATATATTTTTAAACTTCAATAAAATACTATTAGGATCAATAACTTTATCATTACTCATCATCTTAACAAATTCTATTATCATGATTTATGACTCATATTTTACCCTTATATAGTTAACACAATTTTAAATAATTCATTTATTCTTACATAAAGGAGTAACAAGAATGTAATGGTATGGAAAAACCACTCCTCTGAAAGTAAGATTTTAGTAAACTGTTGATGCAATCTTATTTTGGGCTCACTTCTCAAGGTTAATTCAGCAACACACAACGGCCCATACACTCAGGACTTGTAGGTGTCTTAGAGTCTCTAGCAAACAATGCTCAAATGAGAAGAGGAAGCTTAGAAGAATAAGGTTTAATAACTCACAATTAATTCTTAAAAATTATCGGCAAGGTATTTGTTTTAGTTTGGTATTTTTATTTTTATTTTTTAAATTATCTTTTAACTTACAAAAATATTTTAAATAAATTTATTTACATAAAAAATATTAATTTTATTAAAAATTTATTGATCATCATCTTCTTATTTGTGAGTTCTAAAAAAATATATTATATATCAATAAATTTTTTATTTGTTTCTCTTCATTTTATTTTTCTTTCGAACATTATTCTCTATCTATGTTTTTATGGCTTATTTTTTCTTTTTATTTTTCTTTCTCTTTCTTTTCTTCCTTGAACCCATCTTCTTAAATCTTTAATATTTTTTTTTAACATCAATAATCAATTTGATTGATAAATTTTACATTATAAAGGTATTTAAGGACACAGAGAGAAGTAAAGAGATTAAACCTTTCATACACAATTATTTCTTATAAATAGTTAAATTTAATTAATTCAAATTTAAAACATTATTAGACCATTAAGTTTTTGAAAAAGATAGTGATTTATCTTTATAAAATAAAGATTTTTGAATGACAGA